ATAATTCTATCCCCTAGTGCTTTTTCTGTATCAGGCAAATTTAGGCCAAAACTATAGCTTTGAGAATATGAATGCATATGTATCACTATAACTGGAATGAGTTCTTAATTTAAAGGTAATGGTTCTTTCTATAGATGAATACATACAAATGTGTACAGTATGGGGTCTGGCTAATATATGTCTCATTATACTTCCTTATCTTGCTCTCCCTGAAGTCCATGGCAAAATTCTCATTGACTTCAATGGGAGCACAACACACAGACATATGGTACCACATTGAAAGGACAGGAGGATTTGTCCTTGTACTAGTGCCAATTAATTCTGTCCATCTTGAGGGCAAAACAGAACTACTGAGTTAGCATTTTGCAATTATTAATAAATCTCATTTTATGTGTGTATTTTTATTCACCTCTCTAAATAAAACTAACAGATATAAAAGGTAAGATCTACACATAAAAGCAAAATTTTAAACTACATCTAAAATTATGACATAAAATCAAACCACAATGAAGTATAACAATGTAGTTGATATACCCGTGAATATCTCAAGAACGATTTAACTGATTTCCAGCATATAACACTTATGAAGGCAAAATGTTACCAGTATAAAGAGAAAAAGGCAACTATGAGATTCAGTCCTTCAATATAGCTATCGCTGCAATTGCAGTAAAACTTTGCTTCATCTAAGTGATCAAAATGGTTCTTCTATTAAGTATTTTTTGAGGAAGAGATCCATTTATCGTTCAGTTATTTTTAGGATTTATGGAGTCTGAAAAACTTTAACTACTAAAACTTCTGTATTTTATTCCAATAGAATTTTAAGTGTATCCCGTATGCATTCCTTAAGTCTAGTCTTATTAAATTCTGATGTTAAACAGAAAGGGGAAACCATGTGCAACTAGATTAATTTATCTCTAGGGAATAAGGACACATTAATAATTGAGATAATGTTTTCATATATGTTAGAATCAAGTGTGCCTTTTCACTTCTTTATTAGAAAACACATTAAGGGAAAATTATCTCATTCTCATCAATAAGACCTAATTGCTGAGAAAGTCTCTGTTTTCTTTTCAATAACATTAGAAGAGGATTGTTCCCATTACTTCAAAATGAAAAAAAACATCAGAAAAGTTATCAAGTACTGTTGGAATAAATGCCTGTATTACCAAAGAGAATGTTTACTTAATACACTCAGTACTGTTTTCCTTTTAAACAAATCAGAGTTTATTGTATCTAGATTGAAGTGGGCCAAAGGGCGGGGGGTGGGGAAGGAGGGGGAAATGTGGAGAGGGAAGAGAAACAACCACAACCAAAATGACTAATATTTTTGGCTTTCTGAAGATCTGATCTTACCGTAGGCTATAAAAAATTATCTTGACTAATTGCTAAAGAACTCTATAATTTCCCATGAACACCCATAGGTGTCAAGACATGTTGTGAGGTAATGGAATGGTATTTAATTTATTCTGAATTGCTGTACATTGAGCTATATGGATTACATATAAAGCAAACACTGTCTGCATTGTGAGAGCACTCATGCAGACAGACCAAAAAATATTTCCATGGTTTTGAACCATATATCAAATGCAATGATTCTGATGTTTGCCACAGCAAAGGAAATAAAAAAGCACCAAATCTGTATCTATGCTTAATAGTTTTTGGATTAGCTCTTCAGTTTATTTAGCACACACTGAAAACAATAAAGAGCTGTAAATTGAAACAAAAATCCGTCAACTTAACTTTGCATGCCAGGAGAAAAAAATATTAGAAATCTATTTAGAGTACTGAAAAAAAAAAGATATTTACCTCAGTAAGATCCATCAGGACTTTAATATTGAATACTCATCTGTAGTCACTTTTACATTTGAATCTGATTTTAAAACGGAGATGGAAGGGAATTAACTACAGCCATGTTTTTATAAAAGGACAATGATGATCCTTTAATTTTTATTATCTGATTCTATCTACATTTCATTATATGAGATATACTAAAAGTATATAGATTATTCAAACACATTATATTTATTCACAGAAATCACTTTGTAAAACTGCAATCTCCTCCTGGTCTCCTTCCTTTGCTATATTTGTTCTTTAGTAAACATCAGTATTTAGAAAATAAAAACTACCATTTTGAGGGTCAAAATAAATGAAGAATGGCCAAAATTTGGAGGTTTTGTGATCCATGCATTTTCTTTTTGCGTTTGCAGAAATAGTCTGAGTTCATAAGTCTCCCCGCCCCAACCTATTTTTCTTTCCAAGATTGTTCAATTCAAAACACACGCAACGCACGCGCACACACACACATCATTTTTCTGCCATAAAGGAAGCCTGCACAATGTGCTTGGGATAGAAGAACAAACCAGCACAAAGCTCAGGTGACACTCGTAACTAGACAGTATTTGGGATTTACATCGGTGCAGAATTTATTTTTTCATTAACACTTTTTTCTGTTCTGCTCTCTGCTCTCCCCTCCCTACACCTCCCATTGCTCTCTGGTTTTCACTAAATATTTTTCCATTTCCTCTCTGTTTCCCTCCCCACACTGTCTCTTGCCAGTGTCTCTATCAGAGGACACAATAACACGCACATTTCAGTTGACCTTTCAAAACCACAATATTTAAGTGAACTTGAAATTAGGCTAAAAAATGGTCACCTTGAAAAAAGTTGGCAATATTTAAAACTTAACTTACATAAAAAGTGACCGGAGTCTAACTAAAGCATCAAAATATTGGAAAAAAATTAATTATGTAAATATATAGGGTTGAAATCTCAACTTGTGTAAAATATCTTAATTCTAGTGACTTCACTTGAACTGATGATTAACAGAAGTTGAAAATCTGACCCCTAAATTTTATTATTTCATATTCTTCAGTTTAAGACAATATAAACCACCAATACTATGTCAGAAATAGTATCAAGTCCTGTTGCAACATTACAGTGTATGCTCTATAAATGAGTATGAATAATGTGCCTAAATGTGCTCCCATAAAAGTCAATAAGAGTTTTGCAATTTACTTCAACTGGAACAAGATTTGGCCCAATATGCAAAATAGGTGAAATTCTGACCCCACTAAAGTCATTGGCAAAACTCCCATTGACTTCAATAGGGCCAGAATTTCACCCAATGCATTTTGAAACTTGCTGGGGCTGATCTTTCAGCCTTTATGTGAAACTCTCAGTGGCCTCAATGGCAAGTTATGTAAGAACTGTAGAAAAAGGCCTTGGGTATATAATTATTTATTTGTATTGTGGTAGTGTTCAGGAACCCAAGTCAACTATGATAGTGCTAGTTGCTGTACAAACACATAACAAAATGACGGCCCCGACTCAAAGAGCTTACAGGTCTGCTGTGAATGAATACAGTACATATTTGCATGTTTGAATCCATAATACCAAACATCTAGTAAAAATCCTGTGACAGTTGAAAATACACTTGGAGACTAATGCAGTGCTCTCTGAAGTCAATGGAAAGACTCACATTCTCTTTAGTGGACTTTAGATCAGGTCCCTAACTAGCAAACACTTCTCTAACTTCACTATCTCAGCAAGTTAACAATGATGATTTTGTTTGTTTAGGTGCAGGGTTGGAGCCACTGATTTCGCAAATACTTCCTCCTCTTCTGGACGAATGACACAATCGTACCAATTCTCCTCAGATGTCACTCCCCTTGATTTCAGTGGGAATTCTTTCCACAGAGGACTTACAGAATCAGGCCTGACATTTTCCAGCACAAAACAAAACTGTTTTTAAAATTCAAGGGACAAAAATACCCCAGAAATTATGTTATGAATTAAGGAGAAATGAATGGCAAAAGGATAGGGAGGTCAGAATGCCATTCCTCTTTTTATAATAAACACTTAATTCAATAAATACTGGGACATGATGAGGGAGGGAAGAGGATACTTTTGTTAGCTGTTTATTGTTAAAGCTCTGTCTAAAATCAGCACACTTTGTTTTCTTTTTTTTTAAACTAACTTACCAAAATGCAAAACTGCTCAACACAATCATTTATCATCTGTGTAAAAATTATAGCTTCCTGGCCAGCATAATACAGATGCTAACTTTCAACTTGAAGATCATTTGCACAGCTGAATGTTAAACTTCTGAAAATAGGCATTCTTCAAATGGTGCTGCGCCGGCAAAAACTGAGTTATAGCAGAATAGTGACTGGGGAAGCGCCTGTAAGACCAAGTGCAATATAGATTTTATGATTTCTTAAACCAACCTGGAATCTACAGCCAACATTCATCCGAACTACACCAAGCTTCCAAATCCTAAAATGCCTTTACACGGATCGTCAGTGTCTACTGCCAAATAGCATTGCATTCCTCCTTTCAAGAGGATAGCTACTAAGAAGGAATTGCCAAACAAAAAACTAAACCTGGATTCTGAGCAAGGATGCTGCCTACAGTACCACAGGAAAGATGGTCAGAACTAAGCACACTAGTGCAAATGTGGCCCAGAGTTCTAAGTGTTGGTGATTACCCTCATCTTTAACATGGGAGTGTGAAAAACAGGAACTGAGTCCCATCACATTTCCAGGCCACAAAGATGACTGGTCTGAGCATGCAATGTGCCATCTCAAACTGAGTGCCCTCCACTCAAATCAAGATGGAGCAACACATATTGGCACCAGTCATCTCCCTGGGCTGCAGCCACTTGGATAAAGATGAAAGAAGCACTGTATGTTGGGACTATGGCCGCCTCAGGCATATCTCCATATTAAAGATAAGAGAATGTGCAGCAATCTGCCTCTTTTTTATGCAAACTAGGTGTAGTTCTAAGGTTCCCATTAGTTTGCCAATGGTACCCTCAGTTGGAGAAAGTGTGGGCAAGTCTTTCAGGTATATATTACTGATTACACATTTAAATCCATTGTGGAGGCTTTGGGGTCAGATCAATCTAGCCATTATGTACAAAGAAACTAAACTGTATGTCCTACATACAATGACACACTGAGAAAAATCAAACTTCTATAAGGAACAGAAAGATGACTTACTTCCCAGAGGTGCTGAGTGTTCCTGATGGCTCCCGTTTGAACCTTCTCCGGCAGAAGGACAACTCCCTGGAAAGGCCCAATCCAGGTGCCCTGCTGGATCCTCTGAGCAGCACAGATGCCATAGGCCAGACCAGGCACAGTGCTGGTACACAGACACACTTCCCGGGGAAGGTCCCTGAGCCATTCAGGGATCTCAGGTGGAGGTGCTGCGGCTGCAGCACTACTAGTGCCCACTAGGCGGCGCAGAGAGTGAAGTGGCCCATGCATGGGGCACTCTCCGTTGCGGTTATCAGCACACATGTCACATCCTGTGAGGCAAACAGGAAAAAGAGTAATTAACTTGGTGTTATCAGGTTACTACCATCATCTCCACCACAGACAAGGACACATACATTCCTCCACCTTTTTATCCATTTAAAGACATCTAAACACACACACACTGTTGCTTACTCCCTTCTCCTAACCTCACCAAAGCCCTTAAAAGAGAAATGCGAGAGCCTCAGCAGAAGCTCTGCAGACATTCTGCAAGCACAATGTGTTCATTGACCTGCCAAGCCTCACTCACTGGGACAGAGTTTCTAAGATTAGGTTTTTTGATTAATACAAAGGTTGTTTTAAACATCTGCCTCTTGTGATGAAGGATTTAGTAATATGCTTCAATGAGACATTTTATATCTCATTGATGATTTTTGAAGCCCCCCCATTCATCTTGCCACAGCTCAGTTCAGGGGTGTTATTGGAATGGAATTTAATTTGATCCTTATTTCTTATAAAATATTAGCTCTAGTTCCACATTACCATGTGTATGCATGTATGCTTATTTAATACAAAGAAATAAAGGAAAACTCTCAATGGTAAATTATATTAATGAAATCTTATTCATTTGCTTTCTTACAGTTCAATCTGACCTTTCCTGGATACCACAAAACAACTTTAAGAACATTGTTTTATTGTACAATAATACATGTTTAATGTCTACTATAGCAGATGAGGATGAGGATAATAAGACCATGTTTGGTGATGCAACCGGTTCCTAATAAAAAGACCACTGTGTTAAAATACTGATTACACTAACTACCCCATTAATGATGGCTCTATATTTTGGGAAGATCTGTCTGGGATTTTATTTTATAAGCAAAGAAAATTTTGGAAAAGTGTTTCCATTACACATTTCTACATATGCCACGAATGCTCGACTTCCAGGAAAATGTTTCATGCTCAGAAAATCCATTTCTCTGGAGATATATTGAGTTAATGTAATAATAAATCTATTGAACTATGTTACTGTCCTCGGCACATTTTATATCTTGTAGCACAATTAAAGTTTTTATATTAATCTATTCCAGAAATACAAACAAAAAGCAATAATTATACTACAGTATTCACATAGCAATTCATGGCTCTTCCCCTAATAATTTTACATTAGCCACATGCATTCTTATAAAAATAATGCAAACTATTCACCAGAGGGCCTGAGGTTTTGTGGTCTAACCCACAGATTTGGAATAACTAGACTCCCTGGAACCACAGGTTCAAATCCCAGCAGGACTGACTCAATCCTTCTTCCTTCCAAGGTAGATGAATTGAGTAGTTCCATGCCATTTATTATGTTGGAGTCTTTCAGATGAGACCTTAAAAAAACCCTTCTGTCTACTCTGCATGGACATTAAGGGCTACATTTTCAAAATACAGTCTCTATTTGTGCAGTCACAAATTCTTGCACATACTTCTAATTGCCCATATTTCTGAGCATTATCATCTACTGTCCAAATGTAAGTCCCAACACATGCAAATGATAAGCTGAGAAATTTGCAAGAGTTAGTGAATGACAAATGGAGGCTAGTATGAAACACCCTTGAACATTTGTCCCTAAAAAATCCTGGAGGGCTTCTATGTGTCCTTAAGCAAATTTCCATATATCCTACAAGTATACCAGTGCCAGTTCACTGCTGTCCTCCACCAGAGAAGTGGCTTCAGTTAAGTGATTCTATAGAGAGAGAAGTCTGTATCACATAACTCTTGTGGAAGAAGCCCAGGGAGGAGGTGGGATTGCACAGGAAACTCTTTGTTTCATCTCATGAAATTCCTAATTCGTCATGCAATCTGAAAGAGAGGTTTGCAGGACCATAAATGGGAGCAAAGAGAATGGTTTTCAAAATGTGTAGATATCCCAAAATCCATGTGGAAATCTTGATGTATGCTGCTATGTCTTCCTCACCCATGTTAAAGCCACTCCCTCACGCAAGAGGGTTTGACAGCATGAACCAGGAACCCACAGGAGTTAGTTCTGACAGAGTCAGCATTAAAGTGGCAAATAGTTTCCCACAGATATGCCAGGAGATGATATCACATAGACATCCGTCCCTCAACCACTCCCTTTCCTACACAGCACCTTTTTCAAACTATGTGGTTTGTGCTACTGATGCTCATTTCCCCCTTCTATGTTGACTTCTCCTATGGGCCTATTTGCACACCTTTCATTTCCTCACAGCCAAAATATGGCCCAGAATTTTTAAAGAACTTTGAGATCCTCTGATGTGAAATATGCTTTATAAATATAAAAAATTTATTATGCAGGGTTTCTTTTATTAGAACATGTTTTACTTCAATATATCATTATAAGTTATTTGTTTATAAAACCTCATTTAAAACCCATACCAAAACTGTGTGTAAGCTAAAATATTTGTACCTGATTTTTGTCAATTACCTTTTTATTAAAATAAAATTTACAGGAAAATATATAATATACAAGAAAATGTCTCATCATATCAGATAAATTCATTGTCTCTCTTTCTCACAGAAAATTTAGAATTTGTTACTCACTAGTCTTGAGAGAGGATATTATGTAGCAAACACTCTCTATACCAATTCCTAAAAGCGAACACACATCTAGATAATAAAGCTTAGCAAATCCATGTTTGTATTTTCAAAGCTTATTTGGAAAGTAGAGAAAAATATCACAACATCCTATCTCCCCCTTCCCCCAGAAACCTAAGGGTCAAGGAATGATTATGATGACCCCAACCCTGCATTTCTTGCATACCAAAATTTACATTGCAACTGGAGTTTGATATGTGTAAGTATACTGGACCAGGCCCCCAAATGGCAAAAAAAGACACAACTGTGAATTAAGTACTCTTAAAAAAAATCTGATTTCTCATAATGTAATCTACAAAAAAAACATTCTATAAGAAAGTCTCAGGATTTAAGGAAAAGATGGCTAACCAAAATCTCAGTTAGCACCCAGAGCAGACCCTTGAACTATGAATAATTTGTACCCTGCTTGATGATCTTTTAGATGTGTAACCTCCTCCCAGCATCCTGGTTATTAATGGTCCTCTTGGAGACACAATGTCTGCAAAACAACTTGAATAAATGAAGCCAAGGCATCTTCTTGACTCTATCCAGGTAACTCCAGTATCAGCTCCCTGTACCCTGCCACCAGGTACACATCATTTTTCTCACGGGCGTGTGCACACACACACACACACACCTTTTAGAACCTCCCCTGATTTATGCATTGTATTTTGTATTTGACTATAGATGTGGATTAGTAGCACGAAAATCTTTTACACACACACACACACACACACACACACACACACACACCCCCCTACCTTTTAGAACCTCCCCTGTTTTATGCATTATATTGTGTGTTTGACTATAGATGTGGATTAGTAGCATGAAAACAACCTTTTAGCACTCTCTATCTCCAAGAAACAGAGATTGGGAATTTGAAGAAAAATATAAATGGATGCCATGTCACTGTCACTTGGCCCCAGGAGAAGATTCTCTTTCACCAGCTAGCAAAGGGTACTGCTGTTCCCTGTCCACCAACTACCCCCAGGGAACAGTAATAAGTGATGTTTGGCATCTGCAGAATCTTCTCTTCCTGATGTACTTCTTCCCTTTCATTACTGTTAAGGCTGAAAGACTGAAAAGCTGGATATTTTCTGAAACTGGGCTGGCTAGAGAGTCTGGTGTAAAAGGGAGGAGTGTTGGTAGTGCATCGTAAGTCTGTCATTAATGCTAAGCAAGATCGGAAACATTCATGCTTTTAGTCACTATTGTACTTCTATCCCCTACTTGTGATCAACTTACACCCTGAAGTATGAGGATTCTACTGCACTACTGTAGTTTCCCCCCCAAAAAAACTATGTGCAAAGTGAATGCAGAAGGGATTTGCTGGTCTTTCTGTAAATGGTACATCAGTCCTGAGCTTTTCAGAAGGGTTGCCACCCAGCACAGTAAGTAGCATACCACTGCGCAAGCCCTACTTTTTGGCCCTAATGGATCCAAATGGTAATGAACACTACTGGCCTCATCTAAAGCTCATTGAAGTGAATGGAAATATTTCCATTTATATCAACAGACTACCGATCAGGCCCTAATTCAGGAAGAAAGCCTGAAGGAGATGGCAGTAGAAAACAGAGATTTGATGGAAATGGATGAAGCATGGGAGACTGCAGCCAAAACTGGGTATCTCCTGGTAAAATTCAGCGCTACCTCCCTGAGAATGCTGGAGTTAACAAATGAAAATGCAGCCAGACTCTCTGGAGAGAGCTCACAGTTTCTCACTCTATATCCCCACACTCTGTTGATGGGAGGAATAAGGGGAAGGAAGGGGCAAGGGAAAAAACTTAAGTGATCTATTTGTAGAGTTGCTTGCTATGGCTCTTTGGGGAGGAGTGCAATATTTTTATCATTTATTCTGCCCCATACAAAAACTGCCATTAAATGAATACACCATAAAGTCTGCAATATAACTCCACGCACATACATATACAAATCTCAGACTCAAGCAAAATGAAAGAACACACCATTTCCCCCAAAAGACACAAGCACAACCTCAAAGCACACTAATTTGAATAACAGCAGCACTGTATATTTAAAATGAAAGCCGAATGGATGAAGAAAGTTCTTGATGGTGCATGTAGAAACCAACATAATGGTATAAACCAAATAACCAGCTGTAACAATAAATGAAAGAAAATACATTTCATCTCAGCAATAATGTGTTTCAAAGGTGCAGTTATGCCGGATACCTGCAGTTTGTTTGTATTGAAGAAGTTTGGCCTTTGACCTTGTGCTTCATGATTCACTAGGAGTCTGCTGGTATCCAGTATAATTGCCCATCATTTCAAATGTTATTGCCAACGTATAAATATAAATCATATACTAACCCTATCTCTCTGTGTACACAGATAATATACACATCTGAGAGGAAGGTTGTTCTTAGTGGTTAAGGGCCTAAACTGGGAGTCAGGAGACCTGCACTTTGGTTTCCTGACTGCTAAAGACCTTTTAT